AAATGCACCCAGCAGCAGCGAAAATCTAACAACCTGCAGATGCCATGCACATATCGTGCACATCAGTTGTTCACAACGCTTCTACCACTAGCCAAACACGAATCGCTTTTTTTTATCAATAAAAAACCTACTTTTATTCGGCTTACTAATCGGACGATCGATCCGGGCACAATAACTTTGCGAGAGGTATACAAAACTCACTGTATTCTATACTACATCTACGCAACAGATCCTTGTTTTCATTTTCTCGCGAAGATAGCCGAATGTTTACGTTTACGCTACACTGACAACTTATACACATGTGCCTATCTACGCGCTCATATACCAATGTGTCGGAAGCCTATCTCCTCACATTCTATAAAATTTCCTTACTCAATGCTCGGCGACGCGCACACATTTTCTCTTCCAGGTCCACGTATACTAACGAAATTCGCGAACGCGTTCATACGACCGGAACGAGACAAAATTAAAATCGTACTCTATGTAAATCAGCGCGCGCGATCCATCCGAAGTTCGCGTAGCTCACTCTAAAAAAAACACAAAATCGAGAAGTGATCGATGTAGGCCTCGCATTCTATCTTTTAAACTATTCTATACAAAATACGCGACCAACATACACACTCTAAACTGCCTTACTTCTCAATCAATTATTAGAATCACATAACACAATCGGAAGTATCTCGCGGGTGCTATCTACAGTTCGCACACAATAAGTATCCGCCTAATCCTATAATCCGATTAGCGCTCGGACTATCTTACCTCCCGAAGGAGCGTGCCTCATCAACGTACAATTCGCGTATCTACATTTCGTGACCTACTCACAAGCTATACTTGCCCAATACCAATCACGTAGATGAGATGAAATGCAAATGAAAATTCGTTACCCCTTGCTTAGCTCTGACAAGCGGGTAACGAACTTATGAATCTCCCCAGAGATGACAAAACAAAAAAAACCAAAATTATAACTACTTAAATCCTAAATAATTTTTCCCAAATTATTTTAAACAAATCTCATACACCAATCATACAACTACCATCACCAAAATATTTACAAACACAAGCACGGGTATCGAGTCTCTCTGTTTCTCTACAAAAATAAAACTCAAATCTTAACGGCTTTTTCTTCTTCCGGTCGAGCCTATGTCACTCGTCGCCGGAACCACCGTTTCTTCTCGGGATGCCAGCGAGCTTTTCGCCCGCGCTGCCAAGCTGTTCCTGTCATAGCTTACAGCCTATATCACCAACTTCGACCAGGTCGAGTTCCACGACTACATCACGACCGCGCCTACATATCACACGTCATTCATTCACACATTTACACGGGCTAAATAGGGATTCTCGGGTCGTCTTCTGGTCGTCGCTAAAAAAAAAATCCAATTGTGAACTCACTTGACTATGAGTTCCCCACAAGGCGATGCCATTTGTAACCTAGAATCTTACCCCCGACGTACCTCATCGGTTACGTGTGTCCCTTGGCTCTGTGGATCCGTTCCGCACGTCCGGGGTCTACCTGTAAGCTTCATGCAATACGGGAAAGGAAAGCTCTGTACACTCACACTCGAGCTCTGTTCGCTCTCAGAGCAAATCTTCGACTCCCTTCTCCGTTCATATGTACGCTCTAGTATCTCAACGTATACGCGTGTTTACGTTCTATTCTTTCACACTTGGCGCTCACATGAAATCATATTCAAAATACAATCATTAATAACGATTCTTATAACTAACTATACACTCGGCAAGTCGACGATGGTTCGTCAGGGCGGCCCAACAGATAATGCCAGTTCCGGCATTACAACCCCTGTTTAAAAAAAATCGCTGGATTTCCAGTTGAAAAATCGAGCAGGATATGACTGGAAATAGATCACAAAAAAAGCTTAAAAAATATGAAAATTTGTTTTCTAGGGACTAATATGTATAGCTAAACGGAGAATATAGTTTATAAAACATACTTCGCAAACAGTATCGCAAACAGAAACCTTTACGCCGATCGTTTGAAGAAAAAAAGGTCCATTACAAAAGAAAAAAGTAAAAAATCATGCAAAAAACCTTGATCTTGATAATAAAATATCTGAATTCCTCAGCTCCAAAAACCTATACACAATCTTTTTTAGTTATTTTATCGCGTTCACTTGGTAACCCTTGACATGACCTTTAAATGACAACCAATTGACCTTAAAATGGGTAGGTATAGTCAATATGAACAATGATTGAGATTCAGCAACCCTCAAAATAGGAGTGTGACTTTTTCCGATTTTTATATTGAATTCTCTAAGTTTGACATTTAAATGACCTTGAAGTCAAGGTCGCACAGTAGGCCGAAACGTCAGAAAAACGCTCGAACATCATGTGCAAGCGTATATAAATTAAAACATGGATATGGCGATGTTTTCTTGCAGGTGTGGGTACCCTTTATCGTAATCCATGTCCCTATCTAGTCCGGGGCCCCCTAATTGCATTGTCGCATTCGAAAAGTGCATTTCAAAAGTGCATTTCAATTATCAAAAATATGAAAACTGTTAAGTAATGGTACAAATCAACCCAGAACTGTTACTCGGGGGTTTTCGAGGTCGGAGTACACGAATATCGGGTTGGCGAGAGCCTAGGATGCACCTGGTGCTATCTCCGGGTGATGAGAACGTCTTTTTCAGGACCAACTTGCCGGATCTCCATAAGAAAGCCCAGAAGCAGTTTCTCGGGGGGTTTTCGAGATTGCAGAGTATGTTTCAGAGTATGTTGTAGAATGAAAAATTTAAGTTTTTTGGGAAAAGCCTTATGTCAGCATAAAAACCCAAGTGAGCAAAATTTTTATTCTTTAATATCTATTTGATATATTATAATTATCTCTAATTGTCCTCTTCACTTTCACTCTCCTCTGAAGAAATATACTGATCCTCAAAATATTCATTGCTGCTGTTCGCTAACAGCAAATTTTGCATTTCCTCTGTATACTGATACTTATTTTTTTTTCTTTCAAATTTCTACACATTGATACAAGAGGATCTAAACACAGCACTAATCGGTGAAACACATCAGTATTTGTATGAATCCTGAAAATAAAAAAATATCACTCGTACAATCGTTGCATTAATGTTTGAATAATATTAGTGGTATAATTGTATAGTAATTATGCATACCATTTATTGCTTGAAATAGGGTATAATATAAATTTTATTGATGAAAACGTGCTGCAGTACTAGATCAATGACTAATGAATGTAAAATTTTTATATACACCTTCTAAAATTGATGCAGAATATTTTATTACCTGGTATCTTTTCGGCTATATTTATCTCGAAAACGTTTGACGTTTTTGTGATTTGCTTCCTGTGCCTCTTCGGATGAAATGCCTATCGGTAATGGGAGACTCTCGATTATTTGGTATTCATGAATTAGAACTATATGAACTGATGGAGACATTTTATACCACAAATATTTTTTAACATATAATCCCTATTGTTAACTCCTACTAGAAACCATTAAAAAAAAAGGTCTACCGGTTTTAAGTAAGTTTCTGCACCCGGAAAACCCAGTACATTTCAGTACAACTAATACTTTCATACTCTAACATAAAATCCACGTTGATTTTTTTTCTGTATCGGTTTTAATAAGATTTAGCTTGGAAGCATTTTTAAGTTAATGGTTTCAACTGGCGAAAATTTATCGAAGTGTTTTTTATAGGTTCATAGAGGGTAACTTTTTTTGCCAATTATATCTTACGGAATTTACATGGTTTTAAAAAATGGATGTCAACCGATATTATTTTACTGTTTTGTATAGGTTCTTGATGGGAAATTTTTTTTATGAATTATATCTATAAGTTTTTATGTGGTTTAGAAAAATCGATCACGACCAATGCTATTCAAGTGGTTTCTGTGAGTTTAAAGATGGGCAATTTTGTAATGAATACATATTAAGAATTCTAATAATTGATTAATATGTGAAACAATTATGTATTAATGGTAGATTTTTAATTGAAAAAATGAGTTAAAAGTAATTAACAACATGCAGTTTATATAAATAATCGTGCAAAATAATAACATTTTTTTTTGTTCTTTATTAAGGAAATCGGACAGTTGAAGAAATAGTTTTCTTATAACATAAAATTATGTAATCTCAATAACTACAGTATTTTTATAAAAAAATATACCACGCGAAATATATTGAAATTGTTGACTAATTTTTAACAGAAATTTTTAAACAACTAAAAATAAATATCAACTACGAGTAATACACCTTTTTTTGATGATAAATTTTTTTTTCTCGAATCCATAATCAGGTTGAACTCGGATTGAAATAACATTTTGTAATATACTTATCGACACTAAATGTAGTTTAATGATATGAAAATAATTATATTTGTTTTTTCTCTAACGACATATATTGAAATTGTTGACTAATTTTGAACAGAAATTCTTAAACTACTACCCTGTTAAAAAAAATCGCTGGATTTCCAATTGGAAAATCTAGCAGGATTGGACTGGAAATCGAACTCGATTCGACTAGAAATCGAGCTGTATTTGACTAGAAATCTAGCACGATTTTTTACTGGAAATTCAGCTCGATTTTTAAACTGAAATCTAGCTTGATTTTTGACTAGAAATTTAGCTTGATTTTGGACTGGAAATCTTTCGATTTCAGATCAAAAATCAAACTAGATTTAAGGCCAAAATTTGAGCTGGATTTTCAAAACTCGAGCTAGATTTCAGATCGAAAATCGAGCTGGATTTCCAGTCAAAAATCGAGCTAGATTTCCAGTCAAATACAGCTCTATTTCTAGTCAAATCGAGTTCGATTTCCAGTCATATCCTGCTCGATTTTTCAACTCGAAATCCAGCGATTTTTTATAAACAGGGTAAATCTAAATAGCAACTACGAGGAATACACCTTTTTTTTGATGATAAATTTTTTTTTCTCGAATCCATAATCAAGTTGAACTCGGATTGAAATAACATTTTATAATATACTTATCGGCACTAAATGTAGTTTAATCATATGAAAATAATTATATTTGTTTTTTCTGTAACGACATATACTGAAATTGTTGACTAATTTTGAACAGAAATTCTTAAACTACTAAATCTAAATAGCAACTACGAGGAATACACCTTTTTTTTGATGATCAATTTTTTTTCGAATCCATAATAAAGTTGAACTCGGATTGAAATAACATTTGTAATCTACTTATCGACACTAAATTTAGTGTTATCATAGGAAAATAATTATTTTTTTTCTCTAATCTATAAAAAATGAGGAACTGGAACAGAACATAACTTCTTTGTGCATGATTTTTTTAAAATCAATTTTTAATGAAATTATAAAAAAAAATGTTATTTCTTACTGATATGCAGATAATTAAATGCGCTTTTTTGTATACAAAAATTGCATATATATGCATTGCGAGGTAGATTATCTTTTTCTTACATTTTCATCATTTTATCATCATCATCATTCATGCTCTGAATTATTGCTATTTGAATCATCATCGGCGCTACTATCTCTATCTGTTGATTCTGCATCCTCCTTATCACTTTCCTTATCGCTTTCCCTATCGGTTTCCTTATCGCTTTCCTCGTTGATTTCATCATCGCTTCCATCATCGCTACTTTCACTACTTTCACTGTTAGCAGTTTCTGATTCGATCGAATTTTCTGGATCTTTATCATTGTTAACATTTTTGTCCGGTTTCTTTGCGTTCTTGGAATTCGGAGGTGCAGCAGATTTTTTTTTGGCTGTAGCTCTTTTTTTCTTTGGTTGCAGATCACTCATTTTGGAATTTATGTATTCGCCCACACGTTGCAGCTCATGGTATATCTCGACAGTATTCTTTTTTCTGACGTCTTCCAAATAATGTGCAAATATATCTAAATAAAAAGGTTTCATTAAAATTATTATATTCACGGTACGATATATTTGTGATAAAATTATTCTATATTTATAAAAAATAAAATTGCCATGCATAGCTATGCACAAGCATAGGGAATATAGGGCTAGGCTAGAGTGATGTAAAAATAAGTTACACCGAGCAACTTTGAATCTCGTGGGTGAAAATATATTTAAAATTTATAGAAAATTATTGAATAATAATGAGTCCGAAGTAACAAAACCCTCTGAGAATTTTTATTTTAATTACTTTCAACTGATTTATATCGCGTAAAACATTCCTGTATCATGAAAAAAGTGTTTTCTAAATGATTAATTCCTAATGAAAGAGGCTCAACGACAGGCTCGAAAATGAAATTTTCAACTACACGTCTGATAATTTAATTTACATCACTGTAAACTAGATTGCGTAAGTCCAAAAAAATTTTTTTTTATTTTGGTTGACTTCTGTTTTTTTATGTTTTAAAACGATTATTTGAATGATTAAGGGATGGTCATTGATCATCAATAGTGATGAAGAATCCAGCAGAAAAGCTGCTTTCCAAACACGTTTTTGATATTTCCACTGAATGTTTATGGCGACTTCAAGTACCTCCAAATAAAGGTTGTCATAGAGCTTTTCAGTTAAATGTTCTGTGGAAATCTTAAAAAACATGTTTGAAAATTTGGGTTTCGGGTTGGATTCCACATTACCTTAAATAAATGTTCATTATTGATTCATTTGGCAAGGTTTTTTTTATGAAGAAGCTCTTAGTTCATGTATTGAGAACGGTTTTTTTCTATTCGCTGGTTACAAATCATGGAATTTTCAGCCTTAAGAAAAGTAATTATGCATAATCAACTTATTATGAATTTTCCTAAAAACATTCTTTTCATTTTTTTCGTTATTATTATAGACGAGTAGGATAAAAATTTTTTGGATCAGAGCTTTCATTGATACTTAAAAATATATTTTACTAAGGTATACACGCAGAATATTTGAGTAAATCTCAAGACATTTTAATATTTTGCCATTCAAAAAAAATTTTTTTTTTAAAGCACACTCGTGAAATTTTTTTGCGGACTTACAAGTGATTCAGAAACCTGAAAAAAATAGTGCCCATAAAATTTGGGTGAGGGTCTTCGAGGATTTGAAAAAGTACATGGTAAAGCTGAAGCTGATGAGCCATAATTTATACCATATTGATGGACAATATTTGCTCCTAAATTTTGCTCCTAAATGTGCAACGCAAAATTCTATTAAAATGCACTCAAAATCAACGATGGGCGCGGGCGAAACCTATGTTTATATCGTATATAACTTTTTTTACAAAGCACGCACATTAAAAATAGACATACCACTCGATTCTGCTCAAAAACTACTTTTCCGCATGACTTCGTGATGATTCATGGTTAGGCCAATTGGGATATTGGGATTTTGTAAAAAAACCATTAAAAAACTAAAAGTCGAGTTGAATTTTTCTCAAGAGTGTAGAAGGCGCGGATAACGACGCACACCAGTCAGTGACATTTTTTTTGAAAGTTCACTTCCTTAGGATTGTTTGGTGATGGTAGGGATAAAAAAGCTCTATGGGCTTATCGGGAATCAAAATTTGAAAATTAAAAATAGGATGCGTTGAATTTCAAAACGCATAAAAAACGCTATAAATTGCATTTTTTTTATAAATTCAAGTTTGGACCCCACTGGAAGTTGTTTTGAAGAAAAGAAAAATTTGAAAACTTAACGTTAACAATGCGAGGAAAGGTATATTTTAGATTTACACAAAAATATTGTGCAGTTGACACGAATATTAAAATTTCGTGAAATTTACTCATACAAAATAAACGTACGGAGAAAAGTGCTATGCCAAACGCATTAATTTATGTTACGCATTGATGCAGCTAGCGTTATACAGTTTTAGAGCTTAGTGGTTAATAAAAAACAAGCGTAAAATGAGGGGTTACTAAGGTTTTGTTTATTCAAAACATAAAAAAAAATCGTATTATCTAAACATATTGTAAGACCCGAAATAATAAAGCAGAAGTTTAAAAGTTTCCAAATCACAAAACAAAACACCTCTGCTTAATATCCTGAAGAGTGGAATATTACTATTTTTCTAGTAATCTACTCTATATACAAAAATTGTTCGCTTTTTGTTCTAATTCGTCGAATGCTCGATAACAGACGTGATAAAGAATAATACTTTCTATAAGTATTTGTAAAGGTAAGAAATCTTCAACTAGCACGATATTATTTGTTTTTCGAGTGCAATTTTTGGAATCTTTGAATGTAACTTTTGATTGTACTCTACCTAGCTCAGCTCATTTAAATGTATCTTTGGATAAGTAATAGGTTAGTAACCGAATTGATTCCGGTAGAGTAATTTTTTGGTCGTTCGAAAATGAAATCGTAAGTAACTACATAGCGGTTAATCTCATAAAAGTTTTTTTATCTTTGAATATTTTCAGTTGCATATTTAAAGATAAAATAAATTGCAAATGTAGGAATCGAGAATTCTTTTTAAGATAAAGTCGAAAAATGGGTAATATCTAGTAATTTGACGATTTTCACCATTTAAATACGTAGCGTTGGTCGAGTGGTTTCCGCATATCGTTACTTGCTACGATAGTCTTTCACGGAGTAATGAACAAATTTCAAGCGTTAAAATGTAAGGTTCTTTTGTTCATCAGATCAAAAAACGAAGGATTCCGAAAAATTTTCAATATTTCCTATCTTTAATCTTTAAAGTCAATTAAGGATGGAGAAATTATTCTTTTTCATGTTTTCTAAACATCGATGAAATACGTCTCGCTAAACGTTGTATTTGCCGACAGAATTTAATTATGTGCCAATAATTCTGCAGGTAGCTTCAGCTACATGCAAACTTTATATATAATATATGCGAAATTTTTCAGAATTTTTAATCTTTCACTATTAAAAAATAAAAAAACTTTCCATGAGCACATTTACGGAGCATGAATTTTCGTCAATATATTGACCTGGAAATAGAAAAAAAAACGTCGGGCTCACGATGGAGAATGTAAGGTGCATTCAGAAATGTGAATTCTCGATTTTGGAATTTGTCCATTTTTTGAAAAATCTAGAAATGGCTCAAAAAATTCTGAAAAATTTACACGTATTCTTTTCTCAATTTAAAGCAATTTTAGTTCTGCAACTTTTTTTTCAAGGGCGTCATTTCTTTAGATAAATATGTAAATTATTATTTAATATAACAAGCAATATATATTTTAATTTGAAAATGAAGACCTTGATAAAAAAGTTAAAAGTTCTGGAGAATCACAAATACACAAGTATATTAAAGTCTCATTAAGAAAAAAAAATATTAACATACAAACAAAAATTGCTCAATACTATTAAAACACTCACCATGAACAGCGCTCAGGTTTCTTGAATCAAGAGCTGGTTTGGCTATAGAACCTTTTATTGCGTTACATCGTTGACCCTTCACACTGCATCTAGCCAACTCATCTTTACCAAAAATAAATTCAGCGACTGTTTTAACAAAACGGTTGTATTCAGTATTCGGTTTCCCACTTGCCGCATTGTTTTTTGCCTGATAGTAGTGTGTTAAATTCATCCAGACATCATTACCGCAATATATCTAAGAAAAAGTGAAAAACTTGTTAAATCATATCACAACGAATTCAATGGAAATATATTTATTCGAGGTTAAACTGCAATACCTGATTTGTGTCTGTTCGAATGTATCCAACAGGTATATCTCCTCTTATCCTGCAGGAATACGGATTTATTTGACGGGAAGCTGTAAATAAATTATTATACATAAATTTATACATAGTATAATATTTTAGACTAAAATCGAATTGAAACAAAAATTGTCTGCAACTTACCGTATTCATCCATTTTATCGAGCACCTTTTCTTGTAAACCCTTATTTAAATCGAGCAATTTTTCTATTTCAGCTGCTTGCTCAGATATGAGACATTTGAGTTCTTTTATGGTAGATTCTGTAGCGTTCAATTTTGTAGATTCTGTAGCGTTCAATTTTGTTTTCTTACTTCCTGCATCTTCATTTTTACTTTTCCTTTTTTTGCTTGGATTCTTTTTTTTTAGTATTGCGTTATCACTTTCCATTGTTACCTTTTTCTTATTTTTTTTATTTTTAGTACTTGCATCTTCATTTTTAATATCACTCGTGCGCGCAGGATCATATACATTATTATTTGATATCGCAATTACTGGATTTTCTTCAATATGTAAATAGTTCTGGCCCTACAAATAAAAGACATGAAAATGTGCTTATAAAAAATAAAAAACATTTTTGTAATGGGGGTGTTAACATATTTTTTCCTACTCCAACTTAAAATACGCATCTTGGTCGCTATTTTAGGCTTTCGCGAAAAAAATTTATTTATCAACGGGTGCATTTATGGCTTTCAAAAAAACCATATATTTATCACAACGTTCGTTAAATCATATAGTTGAAAAGGGTACCATTTTGCCTAGATTATTGTTGAATTTAACTATTGAAAATTATAAATTGCAAGCATTATTATTTTTTGAATCAAGTGAAATATAGGATTTTATTTTAATTCAATGAATCATATAATCATATGGAAGTACATACCGTAGAATCAATTAATTGTAAAAGATTGTCATTGACATAATCAGCACCAGTCATATCTTTCGTGGCGATAATTTTGATGTTATCATAAGATTCTGGAATAATTTGAGATTTTTCCGGGAAATCGTCACCGTAACTGGTGTTGACCATTTGTATGTTGACAACTTGATTGGAGCCATTGAGAGACATTTTTTCTTGAATATCAGATTCATTGGTGGACATTATTACTTGATTCGTTTCAGGTTCAATCAGTCCAGATAAATTGTTGGAATGATCAGAAAGATTAAATTGTTCTGAAAATGTTGTTTTGGTATTAAGTTCACCGGAACCTATTTTTGCATCCATAATATTAACAGACGATTTGGCAAGCTCATTAACTTTTTTTGAATCTATTTTTTTATTTGTGTGTTTCTTTGCTTTTTCTTTTTTTTTATCTTCTTTCTTTGGAACCTAAAAAATGTTTAAAAACAAGGTTTATTTCAATCATACCTAAATACATGATTATTAAATGATTAACAGCTTCTAAATTTTATAAGCCACGGTTGTATCAAAAACTACTTAAAATTCAACCGACCAACCTTTACTGATACTTTTTTTGTCTCTGTGATTTTCGGTTTGGTTTTTTCTTTGGTTTTATCTTTGTTTTTTGTTAGTTCTTTATTTGTTTCTTGATGGCTATCATTAGAACCATTTGCTATGTTTGAGGTAATATTTTCTTTGTCTTTTAAGTCGTCTTGATTAGTGGAACTCATGTTTAAATTCTGTAATTGAACAAACACTAATATTAATTAAATAATATGGTTCTCTTATATTTTGTATTAGTAAGTCAAAAACCAAGTGCGAGTATGAATGGAAATGCTCCTTTGTGTTTTGAACAAATTGAACATATTGTTTTCAAGAATATAAAATGTTAATGTGAATGTGTACTAGGATGTCCCTTATTCAACAAGTTGAATGGAACCTCGTTTCCAAGCTTTTTTGAGTCTGCTTAAACGTAAAAATGAAAAACCCCGTAGCTACGACCCTTCAATATGGTCTTGAATATCAACACTGTACGCTAACCAAGAACGTCATTTTCGAAATTCAAATTTTAATATTCTCAAACAATTTTTTAATCATTATCACGTATTTTTCATCAAATTTGAATGTTTTTTTGTTTTCCTTTTTATCGTTCAAGTCGTTCCTTTTGAAAAAAATTCAAAGATTAAAGCCGTAATTAATTACACTTGAAATTTTCGAAAATATTTTATAATTATTTTTTATCATCACGTTTTTACTCTTTACGATTTCTTATATCAAAAAAAAACGAAAAAAACAAAGAAAAAAATTTTTTTACAATTAGTTAAAATATACTAGTGAATTATTCCATTTTTACATTTCAAAATAAACTTTGTTATCAGTGCATATTTGGATGGTCATATTAAAGATTTATAGCTACAGGGTTTTTTATTTTTAGGTTCAAGCAAAATAAAAAAGCTTGAGAGCGAGGTTCCATGCAATTGAATAATTACGAGATACCCAAAAGAATACGGATGTAGATCACTCACAGGCGAACTTAATAAATCAAGTATTTCCAAGTATTCAAAAGCAGAAATAAAAACATCGCAAACTACTGAAAAGTGAAAATTGGCTGAATAATATTCAATCATATTGAGAATAAGTATTTTTATCAATATATTTGTTAATTATAAATATGTGTGGAATTTTATTTTTTAAAATTAATAATATGTGGTTTTAGATAGTTATTATTAGTTTAGTACAAGAAAAATATCAAAAAGAACACGATTAAATTCTTTCTTTAAATGCTGGTGCAGCTGTCTCTTTCATTGTTCTTTTTGAAATAAAAAAAATCCAAATTATAGACATAATTGTATTGAAATAAATAAAAAAGCATGCAAATAGAGATTGTAATACTTGGATTAAAAGATGGAGATTTTGTTTTTACTTCCTAATTGTAGGATATTTAAATCACAAATTATACATTTTCAACGATAATGTAATAAATAATAAAACATATAAGAATGTCACATTTTTACTAACTTACTAGTAGTCATTGAACTTCGTTTTTGTTAGGTAGAGAAGTTAGGTATACATCATCGGATGTATCTATAACTAGCATCTTTGTTTTTATACTCTCAAATTCTACGAGAGAATTGGAAGTTTCTTTTTTTTCCAACTTGATGAAGTGTTTAACAATAGGTAAACCGTTATCGTCCAAACCAAAATCATTATCAATTACTTTCCACCGACGTCCGTAAATGTAACACTTGTCATTTACTACAAGTAAGTAGTGAATTTCAAAGATATCATCATTAATCGTTTTTATGACTGAATCGTTAGTTTTGTTACAACGCGTATACTTGAAAGAGAAGACAAAAATCTGTCAAAATGCACAAGCGCAATATTTTTACAGACTTTTCTCCGCTTTGCGACTATTGCTCCGCGCGAGCGCATCTTCAATTTTATACAGTTTTAGAGTAAAATAATTAACTTACCTATGTTTACCTATGAACCTATGATTACCTATGATATAAATGAAATCAGAAATTTTTTGACAAGTACACAAGCAAACCAAGATATTATATAAAATTAGAAACAACTGAGATTTTAAATAATCCTTTAGTGGTAATTCTTTTTTTCAAAAAGATTATTAGAAGCAAGTATGTCAGTTTGGACCCTACAGTAAGAATTAAACTTACCTATGTTTACCTATGAACCTATGATTACCTATGATGTTAATGAAATCAGAAACTTTTTGACAAGTACACAAGCAAACCAAGATATTATATAAAATTAGAAACAACTTTATGAGTTTTTTCAAGTCTATTGATAATATTCATAAAAACTATGATAAAATTTTCATAATTAATTCTGAATTGAATGATAAGTGGATGAGAGCACGCTAGTTAGCTATAGTATATGAAAAAAACCGTAATTCTATGACTTTACTTGCCCGGCCGTCTAGATTAAATACAAAACGTTTACACCTACTTCAATAGAAAAAATTTAATGTATGCAAAATGAAAATGACGTTTTTGATTAAAACATTATGTCAATTTATGAAGTACTTATATTTATTTATGTATTTTACTTCATTTTATTCATTTTTTTCTTCGATAGATCTCCGAACAATTAATAATGCTTTTTCAAAGTAACGTTTCAACATATCTGCTGCAAAATTATTATGTAACAATCGTAGTTATTTATTTAAAAATTATTTTTCTGTAGTTTAAAAAAATATATATTAATAAAATAATAATTTTTGAATTATCAGTGTTTTTTTAAAAATTATGTCTTTAGATAGTTCGCATCGTTTTTCATCAAGACGGCCGGGCAAGTAAAGTCATAGAATTACGGTTTTTTTCATATACTATAGCTAACTAGCGTGCTCTCATCCACTTATCATTCAATTCAGAATTAATTATGAAAATTTTATCATAGTTTTTATGAATATTATCAATAGACTTGAAAAAACTCATAAAGTTGTTTCTAATTTTATATAATATCTTGGTTTGCTTGTGTACTTGTCAAAAAGTTTCTGATTTCATTAACATCATAGGTAATCATAGGTTCATAGGTAAACATAGGTAAGTTTAATTCTTACTGTAGGGTCCAAACTGACATACTTGCTTCTAATAATCTTTTTGAAAAAAAGAATTACCACTAAAGGATTATTTAAAATCTCAGTTGTTTCTAATTTTATATAATATCTTGGTTTGCTTGTGTACTTGTCAAAAAGTTTCTGATTTCATTAACATCATAGGTAATCATAGGTTCATAGGTAAACATAGGTAAGTTTAATTCTTACTGTAGGGTCCAAACTGACATACTTGCTTCTAATAATCTTTTTGAAAAAAAGAATTACCACTAAAGGATTATTTAAAATCTCAGTTGTTTCTAATTTTATATAATATCTTGGTTTGCTTGTGTACTTGTCAAAAAATTTCTGATTTCATTAATATCATAGGTAATCATAGGTTCATAGGTAAACATAGGTAAGTTAATTATTTTACTCTAAAACTGTATAAAATTGAAGATGCGCTCGCGCGGAGCAATAGTCGCAAAGCGGAGAAAAGTCTGGAAAAATATTGCGCTTGTGCATTTTGACAGATTTTTGTCTTCTCTTTTCAATAATAGTGGTATCATCGAAATGCATAAGCGCAATATTTTTCCAGACCCACATGCACCGGACACGAGTAAAAAATTAAAATATGGCCCGTGCCAGCGCAGCTTCAATTTTATACAGTTATTGGAATAATTATGTGTTTCCGATTTTTTTTATATTCACTAATTTTTTTACTTTTGTTTCGAGCAGAAGCTTCAAAGCTTTGCAACTCATTTTCAAATTCAAATAATTTTTCTTCGGAACTCAGACTATATTTTGGTTGACTTTTGAATAAAACACTATTTTAATTTAATTTTTTTATTTTTTTGACGCCCGGGGTGATTTATGTACAGTAACACCGCAACTTTCGGTCAAAGTCATCGCCGAGTTCGAATTTCGACCTAGTGCGTGAGGGGGTTACCGAGGACGATATTTGAGCGAAAACATCTCGACTTTCCGAAGAAAGTCATCGTCGAGTCCGTATTCCGATCTAGTGTGTCGAGCGGGCCGCCCGGAATAATATAGTCTCGCGGTAACATCGCAACTTCGCGGATAAAGTCATTGCCGAGTTCGGATCCCGAATTAGTGCGTCGAGCTCGCTACCCGGGACGATACTTGTGCAAAAAAATCGCGACTTCCCGGAGACTGTCATCGCCGAGCCCGGATTTTGACCTAGTGCGCCGAGCGGGTTACGCGAAATGATATTTCCGCGGCAAAATCGCAGCTTCCTAGAGAAAGTTGTCGTCGATTCCGGACGGATATCAACCTGATGCTCCGAGCGGTCATTCTAAAGAATATTTTCGCGTAAAACCTGTAATTGCGTGGAGAAAGTCATTTTCGAGTTTCGAGTTCGACCTGGTGCCCCGACCGGGTTACCCGGGATAATTGCGAGAATCTTGATGTCGAGAGAGAAATCTACATGTATCGTTTAAAACTCATACATATCAAATCGATGCGCAGCATCTATACATAGTTACATTTAGCCTTATAAATCGATTAAATCGATGATATGAAGTTGGCCGGAAGACCACGTGAGACCGCGTTTTGCGTGAGACCGTTTTTTCGTCGGGGATTTTTTCTTTTATCATTCGTATTTTAGTTAATACTGAGTATTTCGGAGAGTATGAATGCACTATTTTTGGTCACTTTTTACAAGGAATCGATTTACCGAATTAGAATTACCGTATGTTTTATAGATTTCAAATAATAACGTTAGGTTGTTTTCGCGGGTCCCGAAATCGCGATTCTCGCGTATATGAGGAGCGTGGAGTGACGCTGCTCTCGTCTGCCATACTTGCCATTCGGAGCGCGACACGCGCTCCTCGATTCCATGAAGTAGCATTTTTTTGAAAATACACCGATGAAAAACGTGCACCGAAGGTGTTGTTTTGTTCAATAGACCAAGTACCCGTTTAACAATTTTGGCGCAGTTATTAACTTTTCCGGTGAAAACAGCATCATTGACAATGGTGCAGTTTTTGAGAGGTGGCCTATTACAAAATAAATTGTTGCAATACTGTACTGTGTGACTTGTATCATTTTTTTGCTGAGATAGGAAATTTTCGAACTCATTTCTTCGCAACCATTTTTTGGCTATTTGTCCAAGGCAACCATTCGGGGCGTTTATTTCTTTCATGAATAGAAAAATACCATTCTCAAAAGGAAAAGCAGAGGTAGTCCAAAGAGGTCCAGTGTCTTCGACAGCATAACGATAATGTGTAAGAGCATGTACATTAAATGTTATAAATGCGGGGTCATAATTTTGTTCACACTCTCCAGCAAATTTCAATAGATTGTACTCTACTCTATTCAAATCATTTTCTTTTATTGATTCTGTCAACAAGCAATATATACTGTCAACGAAAAGGCAATATGATTGAAATCTTTTCTCATCCAAAATACCTTTCATGACGGGTAAGCTTAAAAACAATAACCAAGTGCGCCATTCAGTGGCTTTATATTTACCAGCAAATTCAAGCGAACGTATGGATCGTCTAATATCCCGACAGAGTTTGACATGAAGCATTCTCTTCACAATTATCTTAAAGTTATCTTTACTTATAAATGTACTTAACCACTTATTCCATAGCTGCTTGGTTACTCCTAATAAGGTTCCGTGCATGTAGTCAGGCGGGAGATCCCACACTATATCGAAATTAGGCAATGAAAGCAGTAGTGAAATTCCTTTTGTTCCTCTAATTGGTTTTTTCAATTTTTCGACTGCTTTGAGATCCTTCAAGTGTTCTGAATGTGACCTATCTGAAATCTCGTTTTCCATCAAAATATATCGCATGGAGCCTTCAATGTATTTACCAGGATGGTAACACCAGCTGCAACCAAACGCACCATTAAACTGTATCCTATTTTGAAGCTTTGGTCGAGCAACCGTATCTACATTTGCCGTATATGGCAAAACCAATACATTATTGACAGAACCAGAAATACAATCAACAACTGTGATACCTGTTAATCGCAATTGTTCACACTCTTGGATCATGGTTTCCATGTACATGCCCAGTCTGTCAGCCGTAGGTTCCTTTTCCGTTTCTATTAAAGCAGCGAGAAGAATATATTTAAACCTCATGTCTGGCGGTAATTCGTTTATATAAATCTGTAAAGGCCACAAACTTCTTTTCGCACTCTCAAAGAGCTGTGCTCCATCAGTGTTAAAATTAAATGTTAGAGCACCTGGATATTTGTTTTGCAACTCTATATAACTAGCAGAATCTTGAACATCAGTAATAGTGTTATTTTCAACAATACAAGCATTATTTCTCTTTTCTACGAAACTCTTCATGGACTGCTGAATATCAGGTCTGTTCAGTAGTAATTCTAATTGATATTTCATACTAAGAGTGAGAAAATAATCTTTTGAAGACGGGGTAATAACAATATCTTCGAGGCAGTGAGTGCAGTTTACAACGGCTTTGGCAACTTTGGTATTATCAATACTTAACACAATTTTGTTGCAGTCTGGGCAGAAAAAGTTCTTTTTGATAGTATTTGGAGAAGGGGCAAATTGTTTATTGGCCCGGTATGCATTATATTTCCAACTGTCAAATTCCTTTCCAGCAAGAGTTCTAACAAAATCAATCAAAGATTCTTGAAATTTTCTCGTAGGATTGAATTTTATTATGATTGCATTTAACATCAATACGACATCTGCTACAGTACACTTAGACGATGAAAACATAATTCGATCGTCACGAAGAAAACTATTGGAATCTCCAAAACGTTCTACATCATCACCGGAAGCATCATCATCGGAATCATCATCATCGGAATCATCATCATCGTTATCAGATTCAAAAATTATTCTACCGTTATTTCTTTCTTCTTCTAAAATTTCATTTTCTGTACGATCTTCCGAGTTCATAGTTCCATTAGTTTGATAAAACTGATCATTATTGCTTCTCTGACAATCTAAATTGTCAGTTTGATCATTACTTTCAATTATTTTTTGATTGTCAAAGTAATCCATCTGATCATCATTTCTAATTCGTGTATTAGATACTACTTCAGGAGTTTTTTGTTTTAAAGAAGTTGCCACTGTAATATATTTTGAAAATTATACAATAAATTAAAATGAATTGTCACTTAAACAAACAATTCACATACATTTTCTTTCAACAAATTTAATGCATTCATAGTCAAATGAGAACACATATGATCGTGTGGGTATTATAAAGTTCAACATAAATTTCACCCGTAGATGTTCGATAAACCTTGTATTGTATATGTTAAAATATATATTACAATGGTTCAATTTAATCAAGTATTATAGTGGCTTGAGCATTAATACGTGGTTTATTCAATAACTGATAGTAGGTATGCAAATATATGTCAACGAAAATCATCTATTTCGTCAATACAAATTTTTTCATGAATGGTAACCTCAAAAAGTCCCTCTTAAGGTCATTAAAAAAGTACAATATAAATAAAATTATAACACATTATATCGATCGCAAAATGTTGTAACAATATTTGGACGATTTGTATCATTTTGTTTAAGTGAAAGTGAATTGGTATATAAAAAATGAAAATTACTATATGAGACGGCGAATGCTCAACGGGCAGTCTAGCTTTTCATTTCTCTTATATGAATTATATCAACAGAATTTCAAATCAAAAAATTTATTCGATGAATACTTTTTTCATTTAACCCCTTCTTTTATTTATACCCAATGAAATCACCTGTTCAAAAATTTCCCGAAAAAATATAGATCAATAAGCTTGATGTTTATATAGAGTTCTTGAAACAGTGCACTCTACCGCACCTGAATGTTGCATAAAATTCATCCAATTTTAGAATATTATTTATAGTATTCATACCAAAAATCAGCAACTTTCCATCTACTTTTAAGCTCGTGTGTTGTTAAATATCGTCTACAATTGATGCGGATATAATTTTCAACTGAATTTAATACAGCGGCCACTAAGTAAAATACTAATTGATTTTAAATATAGAAGCTATGTTAAATCAACGCAACTTTACATTTTCAAAAATAAACCATAACAGATTCGTTTTCGATATTTATATATTAGCATACCCTATCCAGAAATTAAAATTTCCACATAGTACTACTGTGGCACTAGTAGACAAATGTAACTATGTTTAAATCATAGAAATATTTTATCAACTATTTATTTGCAAAAATGAAGTATTTTTTGGTACACGTGTCTCGTCTTACAATATTTAAAAACCCTGTGCCCTCTTCCGGCATTAAGCGGTATTGAAGCTGTAGTAATATAACGTGCACAGTAAGAATATAATTTCGAGTAAAGCTTCCTTCAATCTTCACATAATAAAATACTGCAAAAATTTACTTTTCTTCTTTTTAAGAAATGATAAGAAGCTCTTTAATTGTTGTTGTGATTAGTCGGTGAAAAAAGTCTGAACGCGGTCATTTTTATGACGTATAAAAAAGAAAATTGAGAAACCATTCATTGCCTCATACAATAAATGATACAATAGTTAGAAGCACGCGAACTTTTAAAGTAATTTCTGTCAAAATGTACAATCATTTGATTGTTCATTGACGTTTTAGCAAAGTCAATGCGCAATCAATTTGATAAAAAAGCAAAAATGAGATATTTTGCAGGCGAAAAAAAGTTGTTTATATTGCATTTAAGAATTGTACAAAACACTTTGTAGGATTTTTAACTTTACTTTAATAGTTGATATATTCTTAATAATTTCAAAATCAATTTTTAACCAAAACGATTGAATTCGAACATTACTATTGTAATATAAAAATTTAAACAAGAAAATAATTTTAATAGTATTTCATTTGACTTGCATTGCGTAAGAAAATGTAGGTAAATTAATAGTATATTCTGCACCTAGGGAGTGAAAAACTGGAAAGTCTCAGAGCACGTAGAATTTATCAGCTCGGCTTCGCCTCAGCTGATAATTACGTGCTCTGAAACTTTCATTTTTCGCTACATAGGTGCAAATACAATTTTTTGTGAATCCCCCAGCCTAAAATAACATTTTGGTTTTGTTTAGCGGGTGCAAAATGTTACTTTGTGTTGGGGTAGCACAAAAAATTTATTAAACTAGCAGGTAAATATATGTGATAATGAAAATTAGATAAAAAAGAGACCACTCGAACCCTGGATCTTTAATTTTAATGTCAGATTTTTAATAAAATCAATATTCAACGAATGAAACCGGTAGCCAAATACTTTGAATAAAATGGCGTTCAAATCGTCATACAGATGTCGTACCGTTTGTTTTAATAAATATTGAAAAATTTTTATTTCATTAGATTACTCATATATGTCATATATGATAACATTACCAAAATTAAATTTTATGCGTCATCTCATCCAATAACTAAGCTTTGAATAAGTTAAAAATGAAAGAGAATTATGACAAGGTTTTACTTTTGTAATTTAAAGCACCTGAATAAGCTTTACTCCAAAATATACTAACAAAGTTACTACATAATTTCAGATTACTCGAAACATTTCTGTTGTGTAAAAGCAAGTTGGTTGACGAATCAGGCGATATCATTAAATATAATCCATATTAATTAATTCATAAAAATAAGAATGTATTTACAAAATGAGTTCACGAAGCCAAAAATAAAAAAAGGAAATTTGGGTATTTTTTTATTCAAAGAAGAGATTCCCAAAATGTATCGGACATTGAATGCAAAGGTCATGTGGTCTCCTTGTAAATTGCTTCGAAATAATTGAAGTTGTTGCACATAACTGCATAGAGAGAAAATAAGTTATTACATGAAGCAAAATTCTCTGCCTCGCTCATAACATCAACGGCTGTGGTAGCACCTCGACGGCAAATGTTTAATTTCATGAGCTATGACAACAAAGTTTTATGTCAAAAATGATTTAATTCTTGACACATGACCAAAAAAACAGTCTATCACAGATATTTTTTACCTGTCCGATATTTATAAAATTATACATATTATGAGCGAAGCAGAGCATTCTGCTCTATGCAATGCTTTTTATTCTCTGAGAATGACGAGGTTAAAATTATTCTTTTATTTGATAATTTTTTTTGGACTCTAGTCCACTTACATTTGATTGACTCGTTAAGCTTGAGTACGATATTTAACCACCTTCTACGAGTCCATCGGCTTACTTTTCGTGGATTGTAGGTGGAATTTTGGTATTCCTTGTAATGTTTTTTCAAACTCATGGCAGTTTAAAGTACTGAGTCCTTAAAATCACAGCACAAAATAGATTTTAATGGCAAAGGTCATATCGTTAGGAAAATTAATAATTCTTATATTATAATATTGTGTAAGAAGGTATGTCAAACATATGATGATCCTAATGTTTCTAATTCAGTTAAGAGCATTTAGAGGAGGTCATGAATGGTGAGTTATTTATATATTAATCCGTTCCAAAAGAAAGAAATTTAACATATTTTTGAAGGCGTTGTAAACTTTGCGAAAAAAGTTGAAATGGTGATTTCAGACGTAAAGCTTTATGGCATTTTTTAATTCAGCGTCAGAAATGTTTAACAAACGCCCATGCATTATTTTAGAATATTCTGAAAATTTTTTGCATTTTGGATAAAATTACGAGATTTAAAACAACCACAAATGACTCAAAATATTTTAAAAAATTTAAATGTTGTTCTCTTAATAATTTGAGGAAATTTTAACACAGAAAAAAGTTGCCAAATTGCTTCATTTCCGAGTTGAAGAACGTTTTATCTAATTAAAAATATTTCATTATTATGTCAAAGACAGACGCAGAGAAATGTATCGTGTCAAGCACGCACCAAGAAAATAAATGTATTATATCAAGCATGCACAGCTTATGACTCCCACATGACTAAACATGGTGAAAAGTTAAAATTTGCTCAAGATTAATCATAATGCACTACTGAAATACTTGAAGACAAAGGAAATTTTTTAAAAATGAAATTCATTGACTACTTCAAAGTTCTTTATATTTGACATAAATTTTAGGTAAAACCTATAAAATTATGCTCAAGTGCAAACACATCGATAGCGCATGATTTGGAAGTATGTTTCTGTGAACTTTTGCTCACAAATGGGACAAAGTTGAAAGAATATTATTAAAAAGCTTCGTTGCCCCTAAAATCAACCCTGTTTTACAAATACGTAGGCATCCTCATGAGTTGACAATAAATTGCACACTTGTTATCAAAAACTTCAAGCACTTGTCATGACTCTCACATGAATATATATAGTGAAAAATCAAAATTTACTCAAGATTAATCATTATGCCCTTTTGGGATGTTTAATTTTAAAAGCAAATTTTTTAAAAATGAAATTCATTAACTACTTCACAGTTGTTTATATTTGACATAAATTTTAGGTAAAACCTATAAATTTATGCCCAAGTGCAAATAGCGCATGATTTGGAAGTATGTTTCTGGGGGGTCCTTTTGCTCACAAATGGGACAAAGTTGAAAGAATATTATTGAAAAGCTTCGTTGCCCCTAAAATAAACCCTGATATACAAATACGTAGGCATCCTCATGAGTTGACAATTAATTGCACACTTGTTATCAAAAACTTCAAGCACTCTTTATGACTTTCACATGAATATATATAGTGAGAAATCAAAATTTGCTCAAGTGCAAATAACGCATGATTTGAAATGACTTAAAGGGGGGTAATGGAGTATTTCAAATGTTATTATTGTTATTTTTACCTTGTGATAATCGAGACCTGCCAACCTTCGTTGCAATATGTTATTGCTATTGCTCTTCTCGAGAGACTTTTTTTTTATGTTAATTTCCACTTCGCTGCAGCTTAATTCTGAGGCAGATAAAAGGAATTTATTTGGTGGCACTTTCTTTCTGTCATTTGCTATCTTCTCTTCTAACGCTTCAATAGATTCTGTAAAAAAAATTAACATGTATTGAAGCATTAAATAAATAAAAATATAAAAAAGCATGGTTAAATGAAAATACCCACCAGCAATAAATACAATTATAGCACTTTGATCGTATTTGGGTATTATATATTGCTTGTTCTTATTGTGATTGGTGATGGAGAATTTGGGAACTTCATTCGCTTCTACCTTAACATATACTTCATTTTCTAACTTTGCATATAAGAACATAGTTGCACAATTAATCTGTAAAAGAAAGAAAAGGAAAACTAACATAGAAAGAGTGCAGTTACAATTTTCATTTGTGAGGTTATAAAAGGTTATACGATTGTATTAAATTGGCAATGCAGTGATTGAAACTAATATAAATCTTTGCATAATATATTAATTGAATCAATACAATACTACTGCTTTTTAAAATACTTATTAAATGATACAAATAAATAACTTACTTCAGGAATTTTACGAACTCGCAACCATGCGACCACTTTCATGCAAATACCCAAAGGAAATGCCGCCCTTTTGTTTTTCCATTGTCTGTGGCTATTGCGTCAGTAGTCGAGATTAGCGAAGCGGCCGCGCAAAACAAGTCGCAGCACGTTGAAAACGCGCACATAACACTGTTTCGCACACTGCTTCTCCCCTCTTTCTTCATTCGCAATAAATGCTATCGGATTTAAGTTGTTTCAAACATCATGCTATTACCAGTACAATAAAATTGAATACGGTACAAAAATTACGTGAAATACTTCGTTCTCGGAACGTTGTTGTTTCGTAAATGATATTAATTAGTCAAATGATCAACTGAACATCTTTTGCGTAAAAAAAAATTCATTACAATCAACTTTCAAATAATATGATGTAGAATTATTTTGACTTGTTTTTCGAAAATTAATAAACATATTAAGAAAATCACAAAGATACTATATAGCGACTAATAGATTCAGGTACACACTTGACTTGGAAATATTTGGAATTATACCGTTTAGAGATTTTTCCATTATTAAAAGTATAATAAATTAAAATTGTAATTTCAACTCCTAAATATACAAAAGATGATATATGTAAAAGACGAATTGAGGACTAAATGAAATTTTAATTTGTCTTATTATAAATATTAATCTTATCTTATTTATATTTAAATTTTCATCGTGAGGCGAGAACTTGAATGTTAGGAATATGATATTTGGAATAAATGATAAGAAGTTCGAAAAATCAGAACAATAAAACTACTTATCAACTATTTTTAAACATTTACAAATTATTTGGCTCGTCGATTCAATTAATTTGTTTCAATTCGGTTCGAGTGCTCCCAATTCATTCTATTTCACAAGAAACATATCATAGGTTTCTACTATGTTTCTGCACCCGGAATTCCCTATTCAAACCACAACGAATCATTATCTGATTTATTAATTGAAAACAATAGATTCCTATAAAACTATTCAAGTCGCGATTTCCAATAGAAAACATTAAAACATTTCACCTTATTTATACAGGTTGAAACGAGTATTTCCAAATGCGACATTTTCCCCATTGAAACCCATAAACTTTGATTCAAATTAAAAACCACTTCATTCCATATCAAGTTGGACATGGTAGTTTTTTATATTTCACAAACAAAAAAATTTCCCCATAAGAACCTTTAAAACCAAATACATTTCACCATATTGAAACCATTACAGCTAATATTCACGATTCTGATTCCATTAAAACCAGGTAGAGAATAAGCATGCCCAATAAAACCACATTCAACTTTTTCACTGTGAAAATTATATGACTAGAAAAGCTTAATTCGTCTACTGGTTTCTTAGTGGTTCTACTAGGTACTATCAATAGGGATCTCGCAGTGTCCAAACAGTATACTCTGAAAGCATAGACATCTGTGCTCATGGATGAATAAATCACAGTCAGAATAACTTTGAATCGGTCCAGTAATTTTTTGTTGAATCCTATTACATTGCCTTGTTTCATTAAATCAGTAATTAAGGGTATTTTGAATTTAAAATGAAAAGATGTGATTTAACATAGAGAACTGCAAAAGTAGACATTAAAAAATGTAATATTACCTTTAACTGTAGCCACAGTATCAATATCATTGAAAAACTTTCTGGCTGTGTTTCCATCATTAGTATTTCCTGAACCGAGGATCGGTTTATCCACGATAATTCCTAATAACTTTTTCAATTTAGTTTGAATTTCCGTTTTTTTTTGCGTTCACAGCAATTTTGTGTTTATCTTTACTTACCTTACAAAATTAACAACATTTTTAAAATAACAATTGCATCAAGTTATTAAATTATTTCAATCATTAAAAGACAAATAATTCGATCATTAAACATATTGATAATGTTACAAATATCTGAGGCTGATGAAAGATTAAAAATAATTTTAAAAAATGGTTTATCTTAATATTTCAAAAAAAAAGTTTAGAAAATAATATTTTACAAAAAAATCATTGAGCGGCTTACTGTCAAGAATAAAGTAAACCATTAAATGTTGAAAAAATAATTAAAAGTGACTGAAATAGTTGTAACACAACCCATAATAATTTTAAAGAAAATAAACATGTAGAAATGTATTTAACGTACTTGATACGCATGGATACCCGATCGATATGACACATGCAAGACTAATTCCATGAATTTTATATGTGCATGCAAAACTAATAAACCAAATTTTAAAGTTTTTTTTTCACTTTTTTCTTTAATAAAGAGTCTATATCGTTCATCTCGGATGGTTTAGCTTTGCATATGATGCAGTTTTGGCTCGCAGGACATTTATTCAAAGCATTAAGGACCTGTAAATGAAGGAGCATATTACAATTCATTCGAAGAACTATATTAGATAGAACGTCGAAGGCTCAGTATAACAGGCCTGTATGTGGTATATTTATATCTGTTACCGGCAAAACCCGTTTTTAGGCAAAAGTCACTTTTGCCTAGGCAAAAACAAAAATGCCTAAAATTTTAGGCAAAACCCGCAATGCCTAAAAAAGTATAGGAAATTCCTAAATTTCTTAGGCAATACCCGCAATGCCTAAGCAATTTTAGGCAAAACCCGCAATGCCTAAATAATTTTAGGCATTACTGTAAACACGTTAGTATACGACTAGTCAGCATCTATGAGCCGGACGTATTTGTTAGTTTTGTTTTGGATATTGTGGCGTCAGCCAACTTTACCCCCCCTCCGTTCGTGCGCACCACCGTTGGTGTCGCGACTAGCTCGGAGCGCCGAGCACGACGAGTACGTGTCTGACCAGCAGCTGTGTAGAGTCGAGCAGCGAGACACAGTCCAACCAATAAACTGACTTTGTAAATTTAGTCAGTTGAGTTTAATTCAATCTTCCTCATCTCTTTCCTATTCCCTGCGTTTGTACACGCGAATATATATTCGGCCAAAGGAGTGTGGATCTTTGGCCACCTATCTGCCAAGGCAAGTCAGCAGCGGAGATAGTAAGCAGCAGCAGCATCAGCAGAGGCAACGACCAACATCATCATTACTAGCCCTACCCTGGGCCCCCAGCTAACTCATATATTTCCACACTGGTGAACTTCCGACCAGCTCCGACAGCATCATCATCGGAGCAGCAGGGTAAGAGAGAGGAAAATTGTTTTGTTCAATTGGGCGGAAACTCGAACGAAAAAAAAAAGAAAAAGCTCCAATTTCGAAAGTTGCCGCCATTTTGGAGCGCCGGCCGGCAGCCAACACATACATACAGCTAGGGTCTGCTTCGTCGCCGGTGAGTGTGCCGTCGTTCTCAACGGGCCGACATCAGCGAGCTTGCTCGAGTTCGATTTTTCGAACTGTTCAGCCGTTACACGACGACGAGCATAGAGACGCACAGGCGCAGCTCGTTTTGACTCGTTGAGTCGAACATTTTTGAACATCAACGACTTCGACTCTGGCCATTTGAGGTGTTGTATGGCGAGTTAATTCCATTAACACGACGCACGTGGAGCAGCCGGCAGCACAGCTCGTTTCGACTTTTGTCGACATTTTTCAACAACGTCTCTTGGCGGAGATTTTCATCAAGCATCGTCGGCTTTCGTGAGTGGATTTTCATCATTTTTCGACGTGCCATTTCGACTGTGTGGGCCTTGTCGTCTCTGGCTGCGGCGTTTCTCTCGTCATCTGCGCATCGTCGTCGGGTTTTCGGCGCTCAACGGCATGGCTCAACGTGGTTCAACGGATTTGAAGCATTTAGCGACTCCGTAAGCGTATTTTTTAATTACCTCGGCTGCATCCACGCGTTTTATTTAATTTTTTAATTAACCTATACAAAACGTTCAAACTCAGGCATTTCATGTCTCATTTTTGCGTAGTTTTTTTTCGCTGTCTGTGTTCTGCTGCTAGCTGCTATCTTGATATAGCTGAATTCTATTAGAATTCAGCTAAGTTGATGTACTAGTGGTTGGGCTAGGGCACGCTTATCGAGTCAAGCTTGAGTTTGTTACGTGGATTAATAAATGGGGCGGTCGTGATTAATAAACGTTTATTAAAAAATCAGTTAAAGATTTACAAAAGCATGTGTAGCTGCGAATTTATGTACGCACATGTTCTTTTGCTTTTATCTTTAAATTAGTTTAATGATAGGTAGACTTGCTGAAAATTATTAGAGTGTGTGAAGGAATTTTGCGGATTTTTGTCGCGATAAACCGTTAATTTAAATTTTCTTTTCGGACATTTCCCTTTGAATTTTTGGACTTAGTCACCTTCAAGAGATCATACATTGTTTACATAGATAATCGTTAGAGTAATCTCTCGTTTTTGTTTATCGAAATTTTGCTCAAGACAACGACACCGGACGAATATCGGCAGTGATTTGAATATTTACTTTTTCAAGTTTAAATTATTAGTTTTGGTCACGCGCCGCGAATGTTATTCGTTCTTTGATCGGCTTGTATATTTTGCAAGCCGGTTTTACTCGAGTCGACGCGAGTACGTCTCGTTGCTCCTTGTGTATTTATTTCAATCGGTAATATTTCTACGCTTTCAGCTTGTGTGTTTGATTTGAATTTTGTCGTCGAGATTTTGTGTTTACAGAATTTTGTGGCACATGACTTGAGCGTATTATTTGCCGTATTAGGCAGGCATATCTCGTATTATACTTATTCGTATGTACGAATATGTTACATATAAAGCGATCGACCGGTCAGAGACCGAGTAATCACGTCACATGACGTATGTATATGCGCACAGGCGTTATAGTGTATAAGTGCCCGTCTCGCAGCTTCGCTCCATGTAAGCGAGTCGGAGCACGGCAGACTTGTATAAGCGCGCTGACAGAGCAGACGCTCCGCGACTACCACTCGTAATAAAAACCAGTACTCGCTACTAACTTTAAACTACCCGGCTCCTATTTCTTTACCCTCGCCCGTCAACCTCGTCCCCTAGGCCGCGAGCTGTGACGGTAACACACACAAAGGCCTACATTTGGTGACCCGCGACAACAAATCAACGACATCGCAAGCAACATCGTGCGATTCGTTGGAGATCAGTTTCGTGCTCCGAGTATCTCGTGCTTTTCGCGCCAAGTCGACTTCCGCCATTGGACCCTCAACATCTTCGTCCACGGCGAAGCGTAGCTGCAGCATCGAACCGACAACATCTGGTCATCGTCGACGAGGCGAGCGAAACGGCACACTCATCATCGGGCGCACCTGATCTGGACACGAGAGAGAGAGGGAGAGAAGAAAATCACCTGACAACATCGGAGCTTTTGCACCGGCGGGTCGGATCGCGACCGTCTCGGCGTTGCTGCGTGAGTTCAGCTTGGAATCAAGGTATATCCTCATAGGCTCTTTACCTATTATTCGCGTGGTAGAATCGCGTTTAAAGAAAAAA